TTATGGTCCAACTTGCTGTAACACCCAATACAGTCCTTTCCACTGAGCAAAGAGCCCCTTAGATAAACCACATACCATAAGATAGGGAAAATGGACTAACACCAAGTCATCCACTTTGTACTTTGCAAGTGGACGATGATGGGAGTTGTAGTGCCGTTGTTGTCCCACTTGTATGTAGCCTAAGTGTTCAGTAGAGTTTACTCAAACAAGTGGAAGAATGCTTGTCAAATATTGATCCCATGACCTAGCATCGGCAGCTCGTGGCAATCGCGAAGGTAAACCCAAGTCCGTTGATAATATTGGATCATGACTATATAGAAGTTTATATGGTGAAGCACCAACAAAACTCTACACCCTTGTGACATATGCATACCGAATAAATAATAAATAATCATCCCAATCTGAATGTTGAAAGTTTATGTACTTCATGATCATTTGTTTGAATATCTGAACGAGCCGTTTTACCAAACCGTTTGATTGTGGATGATAAACACTCGTGAAAGTGTGGCGTATCCCTAACCAAGACATCAAAACATGAAATGCCTCAACCATAAATACAAGACCATTATTCGAAAGAATTTGCTCCGGACAAGAATGCTAAAACACCACTCAATTAAGGGGGAAATATCTAGTAGTAGTTGTAGAGGCACTAGCAAGAGCACCAACTTCCACCCAATGAGTTAAATAGTTAAAAGTAATAATAACATATTCGTTGCCAATAGTCGATCATGGAAAAGGTCCCATAAGGTCGAACACCACTAACTCAAATGGACAGGAAATTGCAATTGACTCCAACCGTCCTTTTGCAGCACTGAGGGGGGAGTATTATGAGCTTGGCACCAAACGTAGTTACACACATACTGGATAACATCATGTCGCATCTCCGGCTAATAGAAAAAACCTACGCAGCTTCTCAGTCATATGACGATATCCCATATGTGCGTCTAGAATAGGAGAATCATGATAGGTATGGAAAAACCATGGAATAAAGATAGAAGGCACCACCAGCCATAAAGGATCATCAGGATCTGTCCCTACAAAATAAAGAAGGCCATTTTCAAGGTAATACTAAGAATGCAAATGCTGGAATGGCAAATCATCAGTAAGTAATGCAAGATTCTTAAACCCATTTCAAAGCCTTCAAATCCATGGCTCAAGTTTTTGAGCCTCACGAACCTCATCAAGAAAAGGTAGATCTTGCTCTACACCTTGTAGACACTGAATGTCAAGTACAGCAACCACCGACAGCACAAAATCCTTGCCTAGAAAATCCACAGATGCCAGAATAATAGGCTTGTTAGAAACATGAGAAGAGAGTAAAGAAGAAAGAAGAGCTCAAAAAAGGGCATTAGCATCAGCCATAGAACTCCCTGGGCAATGAACAATATACAAATCATATATCTAAAGCTTCAAAGCCCACCAAGCAATACAACCAACTATCAATAATGAAGTAATGGCAGTATGATCACTTTCAAGTAACGTCCAAGAACCATATAGATATGCATGAAGTTTCTCAAAACCCCAAACTACTGCTAAACACTCATTCTTTGTTGTGAAGTAGTTCACTTCTGCTAGTTGTAATGTATAGTTTATATTCGCAATAGGATGGTGTTGACCAAGCAAACTCAAGCTCTCTGGCATCAACACACCTCCAAAACCAATATCAGAAGCATCCACGTGCAAAATAAAAAGTCAAGTGTAGTTAGGATATGCCAAAACTAAAGGAGTCATCAATAGCTCTTTAAGATTCACGAATGCCTACTCATAATCCGGAGACTAGATGAAAGATGACGTTGATGACTTCAACAATGCTCACAACAGTGCAATGTGATTAGAAAGATGATCCACAAAACAATTGAGATACTGCACCTTTCTTAAGAAGTGTTGTATATCATTCATACACTTCAGAGTAGAGAACTTTAGAACAGCCACAAATTTGTCAAAATCAACTTGCAAAACCTCCTGAGAAATACAGTACATAATGTCAAGACCCCCAATAAGATAAAGACTAGAAAATGCAGAAGATAAAGAAAAAAGCTAGTGGAAACAAGGAAGAGGCCTTAGACTGGTGTTGATTTAAATTGTGGAGAAATAGAACAAGGCTAACCTATATATACTATAGGTTGATGAAGCTCCACCACTCTTGGATTGAGGACGGCCTAAATATAGCTGAGGCCGAGGAGGCCACATCATCATCAAGAATGTGGTTTGAGACTCAGGAATCGTACGGGAAATCAGAGAGTCAGGAATATGGAAGTGTTTCGAGAGTTAGAAATGTGGTCTGCGGATCAGGAATCTGGCGAGAGTTAGGACTGTGGCAAGAATTGGGGGATTCCTGACAGCACCCCCTCCTCAAGAACAAGTGGAATGAGGACGTGAATGAGAATGAAGAGGAGGATGAGATGGGTGGCGAGGGACAAAAGATGGAGAATGAAAAGAATGAGGATTGGGGTGAGAAGGATAGTAGTGGTAAAAGTCCTGAACAAGGTTAGGAGAATGAATCAAGTTATCCGAAGGTCCCCAAGTGCGTTCCTCAAGTCCATAACCCTTCTAGTCTACTAGATAGTAAAGTTTAGACCGTGAGATCTTGGAATCAAGGATGTCCTGAACCTCATACTCAGGCCCATCCTTGAGCTGCACTAGTGGAGGCAGAGGAATGACCTGATTTGGAATAAGACTGGGAATATAAGGCTCAAGGAGAGAGGAGTGAAAAACAAAGTGAAATTGATATGAGGAGGGAAGTGCAAGGCGATAAGTGACAAGATTAATGATGGCAATGATAGTGAAAGGACCAAGGCATTAGAAATCGAGTTTGGGACGTGGCCTGGTGGTGGAGATATTTCGCCTAAGAAGCCAGACTTTATCCCCGATATTGTAAAGGGAACAATCCTAACGATGGACATTGGCAAATGTTTTATGAGATTCCTAATCATGATAGAGGTGGAAGGAGATGGAGTTATGGATTTCCTGGAGGTTGGAGACAAATGCCTTAGAGCAGGGATTTGAACAAGAGGATGCAAATGGAGAAGGAAGTGAGAGATTGAATCTAGGATTTCAGCTAAAGTTTGCAAAGGGGAAAACTCGAAGGGAGGAGTGAACAGAGTTGTTATAGGAGAACTTAGCAAGGGGAAGGATATTGAACCAGTCATCCTAATGATAGTTGATAAAGCATCTTAGGAATTTTTCCAACTTCTGAATCATTCGCTTAGACTGTTCATCAGTTTAAGGATGATACACCAAAGAGTGGTTAGCCTTCACTCCAAGTAGCTACAAGAACTGTTGCTAGAAATGGGAGATGAATTGAGGTCCCCGATCAGAAACCATATCTGCAAGAATCCCATGAAGTCAAAAAATTTCCCTGAATACTAGTTTTGCCATGTCCTCACTTGAAAACTCCTTGGTACATGGCAGGAAGTGCACCATCTTTGTGAAGCAATCCACCATGACCAAAATGCTGTTGAAGCCTCTAGAACTCGGAAGATCACTCAAGAAATCCATGGAGATGGATTCCCAAGGACTTGAAGGGACTGGGAGGGAACAAAGCAAATTTGAAGGAAGATGGCAAGGTACCTTATTCCAGGTGCAAGTGTCACAGAGGGTAACAAAAGCTTTGATGTAGTCATCCATGTGAGGCCACCAAAAGTCCCGTGTAACCAGCTCATAAGTTTTTGCAATGTCGAAGTGACCAGCAGTCGGGCTATCGTGGCACGCCATCAGGACCAACAGTTGCCTTTGAGCATCACCTTCAGGAATATAAAGCTGCTCCCCATGGTACAACAAGCCATCTAAGAACTCAAACTCATCAAATTGCCAGCAGTTAAGAGTCACTGTGTGTCCAGCCTGAATATGGGGAAAAATGTTGTTGGCGAGGTCATCAAATTGAAGATTGTTTCTGATCACATCCATTAAGGAAGAGTCTTGAGGGGCCAGGGAAATTGCCATAACTTGAAGCCGATCAAGACCAAGGATAACCTGATCATGGTGATCGAAGGCAGGATTACCAGGTTTGAGATTGAGATAGGAGTGCTTTGAAAGAGCATCAGGAAGGCCTTGAAGCTTTCCAGGCCTATACTTGATAACAAAGTCAAACCAACTTAGGAATTGTGCCCACCATGCCTGATGACAGCTCAAAACTCAGGAAGTTGCAAAGTACTCAAGATTTTTGTGATCCGTTTAGACCGTTGTTTGATAGCTCGCCCCTCAAAGAAACGATGCCACTCTCCAAAGGAATCCATAATGGCAAGAAGCTCCTTGTTGTGGATTTCGTAATTAATCTCTGCAGGCTGAAATTTCCGAAAATGGAAAGCGACCGAATGAAATTCCTAATCTGCTCCGAGTTGAGACAGCACAGCACCAATGGCAAAGTCGGAGGCATCTGCCTTGATGAAGAAAGGTTGTGAGGGATCAGTGTGGATCAAGATGGGAGCAGAACTGAAGGCCGCTTTGAGTGTGTCGAATGTCTATTGGGTAGCAGTAGACCAAGAGAAGGGAACATCCTTGCAAGTGAGATGCGTGAGAGGAAGGACAATGTTAGAGTAGTGATCAATGAATTTGCGGTAGAAGTTCACGAAGCCAAGGAAAACTTGAACGTCTAACATTGATTGTGGAGGCTTCCATTCGAGAATAGTCTTGACTTTGGCAGGATCCATCATAATACCCTCATGAGTGACAATGTACCCAAGGAACTCCACAGACTCTTGATCGAAGGAACATTTCTCAAACTTCATATATAGGCCATGTTCCCGTAGCTTCGCCAGCACCTTGCACACATGCTCGTTGTGCTCCTTGTGAGTTTTTGAGTAGATGAGGATGCCGTCGAGGTAGACAATCACTATCTAATCAAGAAACTCCCGAAAGACGTTGTTCGCCATGTGTTGGAAAACTGCTGGAGCATTTGTCAAGCCAAATGGCATGACAGTGTACTCGAAGTGGCCATAGCGGGTTCGGAACGCAATCTTCCATTCATCGCCAGGCCGGATCCGGATCAGGTTGTATGCTCCATGGAGGTCGATTTTGGTGAAGAAGCGGGCACCACTGAGGTGTTCCAACAGGTCTGAGATCAAGGGTAGCAGATAACAATTCTAAACAGTCACCTTGTTCAACCCTCGGTAGTCGATGACTAGCCACAAACTCCCATCCTTCTTCTTGACAAAGAAGACAGGTGCTCTAGCCGGGGATTGCGAATGCTGAATGTAACCCGAGGCAAGGTTCTTGTCCACGTACTCTTTGAGGGCCTTAAGCTCGAACGGGGATAACCCGTAGATAGGCCCCCATGGAAGTGACGCTCCTTCCTATAAATCAATGGGACAGTTATAAAGCCGATGAACAAGTAGTACACTAGCTTTTTACTTGTCAAACATATCCCCAAAATCATGATACTTCTCAAGAAGGCTAACAAGAGAAACATGCAAAGCAAAAAGAAAAATACATTCTTCATGAAGGAGTTCTTTCATAGTGATTGTGGAGATAGGAGGAGGTGTATGACTAAATGGAATGATGAGGCAAGGATATTGTCCAGTGTAAGATGGAAGAGAGGGAAAAGAAGAGGATGAAAACTTTGTAGAGTCGTGAACAGAACCTTGATTTGAGTTTAGGGAACTTTTCCTGACTCGGACTCGATGAACAGCAGGGGAAGCCATGGGAGATGGTGATGTGGGCAAGATGAGCTGTAATTCCTTCCAATAGATATGAGGCTAGTGTAGTTGGAACCAAAGAAGGCCGAGCACCACAGAGGAGGACTTGTTATTGATGATGTTGAAGGTGATATCGGTGATAGTGGACCTGATATGTACTCGAACGGGCAACGTTTCCCTAAGTCCAGAAGATGGAGACACAAAATGCCCGCCAATGCCTTCAACCCTCAGATCTCGTATGGTAGGAGAAATAGGAACGTGATGTCGGGCAGCAAAGTCCGTGTCCATGAAGCAGGAAGTTGCACCCGAGTCCAGTAGCGCTAGAGCCTTGAGTCCTAATTGTCTGATGAAAGAAAGGAGACATAGGATGTGGAAGTTGAGGGAATTGGTGGTGGCTTTGATGAAAGGTGGTGAGGAGTTTGATAAAGAAGAAAAGTGATTTTTATTCAGGGAGTCCAAACAGACAGCTCCTACAATGTTTGGACAAGGTCGTTTCTCGACTGCAACAGAGGTGGACCTTGAGGCAGAGTGAACTCGAGCAGTCAGGGAGGCTTCTTGGGACACATGGCTGCTTTGTGATTAGGATCAGCACAGTAGAAGCAAAGATTATGAGATATTTTACGTTGCTTCTCAATAGGACTCAACTTCCCTCTAATGAGTTTGGGAGTACCAAAAATATCCATCAGGACCAGAACAGTAGGTTCAGAAGTATGCCCTAAAAACTCAAGCTGGGATTCCTGAGTTTGGGACGGGAAAACAGCGGCGCGGCGATTTTCCTGACGATATTCAAAGAGACAATTGTTGCATCAAACAGCTTTGTTGATGGCGTCCGACAAGTTTGTAGGATCCTCCATGATGAGCAACAAATCCTTGACTCCATTGTTGAGGCTAAAACAAAATTGATCAATCAGAGCCCACTCATCCCACTAAGTGTCCAAGGTAAGGAGTTGGAACTCTATAGCATAGATCGAGGCAGGACGAGACCCCTGAGAGTCATCTTTATGGTGGCAGCCTGAACCCGATCCATCTCACCAAAACATGCTTCGAGTTTATCTTTGAACAACTGAAGATCCATCAGCTCTAAAACCACGACCACTTTCATGCTCTTCTCTAAGAGAGGAGAAAACCATGACAAAGTTGCACCTTCGAGCAATGTCCCGATCATGCCAATTTGAAACTCGGGAGTGGGGTACCGCCGATGTTGAAGTGCGAAGATCAGCTCCATCTGGTTTAGGAATCCGCAAAGCTCCAAACGCTTGCCTAAAAACTTTGTCGGGAAACTCACCTTCAGTTCAGAAACTTTGCTCGATCCTTGAGCCAAAAGTGAAGCAAGCTCCTGTTGCATATGAAGAAGGGTTGCCTTTAGCTCGGTATTCTTAGACTAGATTTTTGCAAGGACTTCGGCAAAGAAATCAGGATGGCTTGGAGATTCCATCGGCAAAGAAGAAAGAAAAAGGGGGAAAAAAGCCAGAGGCAGTCAAACAATCAAAATGAGCTAAAGTAAAAGCAGAAAGCACAATCTATATCAAATTGCCAAGATCCCTAACAAGATAAAGACTGGAAAATGCAGAAGACAAAGAAAAAAGCTAGTGAAAACAAGGAAGAGACCTTAGACTGGTGTTGATTCATATTGTAGAGAAATGGAACAAAGCTAACATATATATACTATAGGTTGATAAAGCTCCACCACTCTTGGATCGAGGACAGCCTAAATATAGCGCACCATGTCATCATCAGGAATGTGGTTCGAAACTTAGGAATTGTATTGGAAATCAAAGAGTTAAGAATAGGGAAGTTCTCGAGAGTCAGGAATAGGGAAGTGTCTCAAGAGTCAAAAATGTGGTCTGCAGGTCAGGAATCCAGCAAGAGTAAGGAATGTGGCAAGAATTGAGGGATTCCTGACACATAAGATAAATTGTGTCCTTGGACCCAAACACGCACTTCAACCGCTTCAACTTTAAACTAACATCTTATAACCAATTCAACACTTTACAAACATCATGAACATGCTCCTCCCACGTCCCCTCTAAGTGGATCAAGACATCATCAATGAAGTTAATAATCACCTTTAGCATATCACAAAGAACCTCATCCATCATCCACTAGAAAGTTGCTAAAACATTATTCAAACTAAACGGCATCACCAAGAACTCATATAAACCAAACGGTGTACGAAAATAACATTTGGTGAATGGGTTCTAAGTGTTCATTTAACAATTTAAGAGATTCTCAACCATCCTTCATTTCAGGTTATAGATCTTGGTTACACAGATGTTATTCTTGGGAAGGAATTATTTTATCATAAGAAGCTAGAGATCAATTAGAAGTATAATATTCTCTATATCAAAGTTGGTAGCACTGTGAAAGATATTGTTGGGACAAACAATTGTGATACTTTATTGATTAATTCTTTGGAGTTAGTGAAGTGCACATATGAGATAACTAGTTCTTTTATAGTGTATCCATTTCTTTTTAATATAATCATGTCTAATTTGGAGTAGGTTTATATGCATAAAACTCATGTGAACTATATTCAAAAGGAGTTTTGTGACGTATTTATAAATGAATTACTTAATGGTTTACCCCTGAAATGTGGAATTTAACAAGAGATTGACTTGGTTCCTAAAGCTACTCTTTATCATTGACAATGGCTACTTCAGTAGTAATGGTCAAGAAGAAAGAGTGCACATAATGTCTCTATATGAACTACAAGGGATTAAATGATAGGATTGTGAAGAATATATTCCCAATCCCTCATATTACTTTTGTTGGAGATGCGCAACTCATCATACGCCAACTTACTGGAGAATACCAAGTCCGCAAAAAGAACCTGAAAGAGCTATGGCAGTGGGCAGTCAACTTGAAGGATGAGTTCTCTAAGGTGTCTTTTCAAAGTGTCCCCTATGAAGAAAACTTTTGGGCAAACAGGTTATCTCACCAAGCAATCACCGTGATGCGAGAAGCTAAAGGCACTCCCTGCTCTTCGGTTTCCAGAGTCATGGAGGAATCAAAGATAGAGACCTTGAGCCCAAGGTTTCTCCAGACTCTAGGGTTCATGCCGTTTTTCTAGGTGATGACAACGACCCGGTCTTTATCGCCACATCACTTGCTTCAACAAACGCAGCAAAGCTCTTGGATCTCCTTCACTATTTCAAGGACGTGTTTGCTTGGGACTACAGCCAGCTTCTAGGAGTTCCTATGGACACAATCATGCATAGTATCATGCTTTCAAAGTCAGCCAAACCAGTTTGTCAAAAGATGTGGCATTTCAGCCCAGCAGCTCACTCAAAGATGAAGTTGGAGATCGAGCGACTTGTAGCAGTCGGCTTTATTTACCCTTTGGAGAGCTCAGAGTGGGTGGCCAATCTTGTCCCTGCACACAAGGCAAATGGAAAACTCCGCCTTTGCATTGATTTTCAAAACTTGAACAAGGCAACTACAAAAGATCACTTTCCAATTCCATTTATCGATGCAATTGTGGATGAGATGGCTAGACACCAGTACTACTCTTTCATGGATGGCTTTTCAAGGTACAACCAGATCTTCATTCATCCGGATCATTGAGATCTTACGGCCTTCCGGACACTTTGGGGCGTCTTTGCTTTCAATGTCCTCCCGTTTGGCTTGTGCAATGCTGGAGCTACTTTTCAGCGCTTTATGACCCACGCCTTTCATGACTTGATTGGAGGCGCCTTGAGGGTGTATATGGATGATCTGTGCACAACCTCTGACTCCTTTAAGGATCACTTTGTGCACTTAGAACAGATCTTCACTCGCTACCGACAACATAGGTTTTCGTTGAACCCGGCAAAGTGTAAATTTGGGGTGACTGAAGGCCAGTTACTAGGCTTTGATGTCTCATAGGATGGGATCAAGCCCCAGATAGCTAGGCTCAGGAGATTCTAGATCGGAACCCACCAACCAATTTGAAGTAACTTCGCAGCTTCCTTGGGCAAACGGGTTTCTTTCGCTGTTTCCTCCACAACTATGCTGCACGTTCACAACCTCTGGTACCTCTGCTACAACACAATGTTCCATTTGTCTAGGGTGAGTCCCAGCAACAAGCCTTTGAATCACTAAAGCAGTAACTCCGGAGGTCCCCGGTTACTGGTTACTCGTTACCGGTTACCAGTTACCAGCTACTCTAAGTGGTTAGCACTTACTCTACAGGCCAACGGTTATCAATGGCCACCTTTTCAGAGTGCCACCACCATCTCGGCTCTCCACCATGTCACTCCATCTTTCATCATTTCCACACTTACCACCATAGGGCAATGCATCCCCTCTTCTACCTCTCTTTCTTTCTCGATTTCGGCCAATCCTTGGAGCATACCGGAAGTCATCAAGAGGCTGCATTTGCATATTATACTTTCCTGAGCCGAAAGCCAGGTACGGGTTAAGTTCTTTGGGTACTCACACTTTTTTTTCCTCTATTTTCCTCCGCTTTTCATACTTTTTCTACACTTTTCTTCACCTTCAGGGTCCAGTTTGACTACAGGGTTTCCCACCGGGTTTTCCTCCCTATCTCCAAACTTCACACCTACCTTTTTTCTTTCTTTTCCACTTTGTTTTTTAGAGTTTCTACTATTTCACGCAGCTACCAGCACTTGGCATCAGTAGCAGAGGTACACTTTACACACTTTGGAGGGTTCTTGTGCGTCTGGAGCCAGCATGATCCACCGTGGTTGCATGTTAGGGCGTGGCCACGGAGAGAGTGAGAGAGTGAGAGGGAATATTCTAGTCCTCAGAATATTCCCCATCTTCCTTGTATAAAACCCTTGCCTCACAAGGGCAAGGGGGGCATTTTTGGCAGAGAGTAGTGAAGCATTTCTCGTGTTGAGTGAGCGTTGGGGGAGGCACCCCTCCTTCCCCCAACAAGGGATAAAATAACCACTAAAGGCTCTCTTATCAAACAATTGCCCCTTTTCCAATTGGCTTGAGATAGGGTGCGCTACAGTTGGTATCGGAGCAAATGGCATGAGTTCAATTCCCATTGATTAGTGGCTACTTAAAAGTATAATATACCCTTGAGCAAGGTATATTCTAACCCCTAAATTTGAAATTGTACGTATTAGGCATCCATGCATATATCCTTCCTCTTGTGTGGAGTATCCACGGATGAAGGTATCCACCGTAGGACTGCAGTACGGGTGGATGACTAATTGCCTCACATGGAATAACTGATCTACACAATGGAAGGATTGGTAAATTGAGTGCGGAAATGAAGGTGTTGGTTCCCCTTGGCTCAGTAGGGGTTGCTAGTCAATAATCAATGAGGACATTAACATCTTTGAAGGGGGGGTGAGTGTAGTGCATGTGATCATGGGATGAGATTTGGATATACTGTCACCCTGAATCCTTGGAACCTTGGGGGATAAATGGGGATAAAATAGCCACTAAGGGCTCTCTCATCAAGCAATTGCCCCTTTTCCAGTTGGCTTAAGGGGAGAGAAATAGGGTGTGCTACAGTGCCAGACTTCGTCTGACACCATTTTGCGTGCAGGTGTTGGATACGGGGAGCTGGTGCTTGTGGGATTGTACCAGACCCTTGTTTCGTAGCGTAACGGGCTTGGAGTTCGGCTCCAAATTTAGGTGCACTATAGTTGTAAGTGAGACTCCTCCAAGTGGTCAGAGGTGTGATTAAGTGACTAAAGTAGAATGAAAAAATTAGTCGCTTACAATTTGGTATTAGAGTTGTTCTTTAGTCCGACTTTTATTAATGCTTAAGTATATCACCACTAGTGTTGGCATAAGAAGGTTCTAGGCATAGTAATGGACAAAAAGGGACTTGGTGAGGATTTAAAAAGAGATATTGGGAAAAGTTGTTCCCCATTTCTACGGGCATTCTAAGGATGCTAAAAAGTGGGTTTGAGATGATCACTCCTGGATAAATGGCTCAATCTTTGAGAAACAAGACTGTGATGTAAATGGTGTTGGACCACCGGTGCAACAAAAGTGAATGGGCATGGCATTAGCTTAACAGGCTGATATGTCAGTGGTACCTTTGGGTGTTGATCATGGGATTGGACACGTGGAGCACTTGGACCAAGTACAAAGATTAAACGCCATGGATGCCATCCTCGAGGCTAGTAAACCATAAGTTTGGAATTACACTTATGGGGGTTCTGAGGGAGAATTCTCCAGGTGGTCAGAAATGTGGTTAAGTGACTAAAGTAGAATGGAAAAATTAGTTTTTTATAACTTAGTATCGGAGCTATTCCTTAGTTTAACTTTTATTGGTGGCCAAGTATGTCACCACTTGTATTGAAATTGGAAGGTCCTAGGTATGGACCTATCCTTGAGGGGCAGTATGTCGAGAAGATATGGCTCTCCACTCAAGTTCATGTGTGAACTTGTGCACAATGTGGTGGATAGAAAAGGGCCAGTAAGGGAATGACTTTGGTATCTTGGGAATAGTATAAGGGTTTCCTCAAAAAGCTGAGAATGTGAACCAGATGAGCGTTTGACTTAACAAATTGGCTAATGTAGTTGTGATAAACAACTATAGTTAAGATCATGGGAAAGATAAAGACTCCAGAATAATAAAGGAGTCACAAGATTATCCTCAGATAGTTAAGGTTGGTGCTCATGAATTTGAGACCAAAATTAATGATCGTGACAGGTCAAATACGAAAAAGAACACAAGTCCTTGAAATGATAGCCAGGGCTACCTTTTATAAATGTTAGAACAACCCAAGGAGTTGGGGGTGTACTTAGAGGATGAGTGGGTATTCTTATCACATGGACAAATAGTTCTAAAGGGCAAAGGTTGTCCTTAGAGAACAAAATCAAGTGTTGAAGTAACACTTGCAAAGATGGTCCTTATAAATAAGATATGAATACATGAAGTTGTATTCCAACGAGTTGGCACCTCAAAAATAAAACCTTATGGGTCATTGGATTAGTAAAGTCTGAAAATGCTAGATGACTCAAGTAGAGTCAAGGGATGGTCCTAAGGGATTGGTAAAAGCATTTGGACTAAAGTGTGTTGTGCCCTATAGAGGATGAAGAGGATCATAAGATCCAAATATGATAATAGTAAGTATCTCATTGATGGCAAAATGTGTCATACTAAAGTCGTGGGAAAGGTGTTCCCAGAGATAAACAACTTTGACACAAAGTTGTGTGTAAACTCTATAATGCAGTGTTAATGGATAGTTAGCACAAGAAAGAATTCTATTGGTCTTGGCAAGGACCTAGACACAAACAAGAAGTGTCATAAAGGTAGCCTTGTGGAGCCGACGGTGTGGAGACACCAAATGTGCCAAGGCGTGATGTCTTGAGGTTAAGTTAGCAGGTTCATGAGAACCCCTTCCCATAGAACAGCGAACATGAATATACTTGCATATACCCCTCTTTTGTTTATCCCTAAGATAATTCTTTCGGGAAGAAGACCATGATGGAGGTGTGGAAGCACTAGCAATGAGTTGTAAGATTTGACAACTATGAGGTAACTAAGCAAAATGGGCAAAATAATTTGTTAAACTAGTAGAAGGTAATTACCTAAGACTTTTTATTGGGATAAGGAAGTTAGGTATACCCTTATAGGGGGATAAATTGCTTATGTTGCGATATAATAAGTCAATGTTGTAAAAGGAATATTTATTGTCAAAAAAGGCCATCATTGGGACACCCAGGCACTCTAAAACACCAGGAGGTGGCAATGGATAAGGCCCAAGGGAATGATGGATAGGAGTGTAAGCCACAAATTTTTCCTTTCCAATTTGCCAGCTTACCTCGTCTATCCGTCCAACATTGCCTTGGCTTTTGCTAAGTCTCCCTTGCCAAGGTTCTCGCCTATGGTACCAGCTCCTACTTGGTTTCAGCTACTCACTGCACGAGTAACGGAGTGTTAGCCATCCATCCACGGATTCCCAAATCACTCCAAATCCCTCTCCCCGGGCTAGACTGGACTTAAGGTTCGGCTACACTCCCTGCAAGCACAAGCAGCCAAGCACACCAAGCTTCCAGGTTCCTAACATCCCTTGGTACCACAAGACTTGATCATGGGACCCTCTAAATCCCAAGTCTTGAGTGCAACACTTGCTTCGGGACGCCGGGGCGAAACACTGTGGCCTAGCGGCCCGGTATGGGTACCTCTACCCCCCCACTTCCATCCCGAAGGAAGGCCCAAGCCCCTAGGAAGGGCGAGGACCAATGAGCCGCATGGTACTCAAGTGGGGCACCACTCCACCTGAGCCGGGAGCACCGCAATCAGTTTCCCTTTCGGGAGTGGGAGCTGCTCTCGAGCACTTCCGTGGATAGCCCCTCCGGCACCAACCAAGTCCATGCTCACTCCCACCCAAGGCCCCTCGGTCCCAATCCCAACCTCAAGTCAGTTTGGGAGCCCCACTAGAGAGTCCCTTCTAAACTGGTTCCTGGACCTCACTATCCCTACTATACTTTTGGAACCCCCCGCACGCTTTGGGCTTTCACCCCTTGACCCGTATTAGTATTTGGACTTAGTCTCTGGCTCAATCTTGGACCCGATTTCGGATCCGACTTCGGATTCGGTCTCGGACTCGATCTTGGACTCGATCTCGGACCCGATCTCGAACCCGACCTCGGACTCGACCTCGGACTCGGTCTCAGACCCGATTTCGGATCTCGGACTCCGTCTCGAACTCGGTCTCGAACTCGGACTCGAACTCGGTCCCCGAGTCGGTCTCAGACTCGATTCCGGACCCTATCTCAAACTCGGTCCTAGAGTCAGTCTTGGACTCGATCTTCGACTTGGTCCCATCCGATGAACTCTTTGTCATTTGGTCATGCTTTCGGGGTTCCTTTAGCCTACGACACCTCGGCGAGTTGGTTCCTTACAACTCCACCACCCATAGAAGAAGTTCGATGCCCACATCGAACGT